GCCAAAGCATTGGGAAGGCAGAACGACTTAAGCACATCTACCCTGGCAAGTAACGCTGCACTCAGAGAAACTTATGGATCTGAAATGAATAAATATTGAAGCAGGAGATATGCAATAATACAAATAAAGCAGCATGGATATTTTTCAATCATCAAATGACCTGTTTTGTAATTGACTTTCGGATCCCAGTTTTATTTACTCATTAGCAAGAAATAAATTAAAATTTGTTAGCAACTTTACAAGTATACCTCTTAATCAATTGGTTTATACTTCATTTAAAATGCTTTTAGTTAAATGAATTTAACTCATCTTTACAATTTAAAAGTTTGTCAGATGAATAAATAAGAGAAGCCTTCGATTTAAAGAGCTGTTCGTGGGAAACTAATACTTTTTCCCAGTGTTAATCTATGGAAGGGAATGGGGTCCTCTTCGGCTTACAACAATAATGTTGCAGCAATGTTGATTGGGCTGCATCGGAGCGTCTCAAGCGGCATTAGGAAGTGCGGCCACGTCTGGATCTGGATGTGGATTGGATCTGGAACTGAGGCCAAAGAAATTGTTATGGCCCAATGCAAGTCGTCTTCTGTTTATCTATCAACCGTGTGAGTTTGTAAGTGTAAGTGTGGTTTATGGTTTTTTCCATGGCTGTGCGTCTCCATTCTAAGTTGTTGTGGTGGCCGGAAAACAATACCGAACCGAAAGAGGAGCGAACAAATAGCCGCACGTGACATGCAGCCAAGAAACAACAGGGAAACGGGCGTTGAGCCAGGGCTAATTGGTAAAACTTCATCGAGCCATCGAACTGTCAATTGTCAAAAGGCAGCAGGTCGAATCAGGCCGCAAACTAAGTTAGGAACTTGGCAAAACATAATTCGCCAGCCCTTTTGGGAGAACTGCCACTGCTGAAACTGAACTTTGTGGGCGTTTGTGGCGCCCAGTTGCCTGCAGTTTATATATGGAGCCTAGGCCAATAATTTAAGAAGTTCACGCTACACAAAGTTCAAGTGAAGTATGCCAGGTCTGCCTGCCTCGTCCTAAAAGATGGCAAACGGAAATTTACTGCAGGCACGAACAGCAAACGGAGCGGGGAATCCCAAAAGGGGTTGAGGAAGGGGGGGAAAGTGAGGAGGACTCGAACGCCCTTCCAAAATGCGGAACAAAATATGCACATTTCCACACTTAATAACAAAATATGTTAAACAAAATCATTTGATGTTGGGCGTAATTTTTTCAGCAGTGCAGGGCTGGAGTGCCTGTGTGTTTGTGTTGCCAGAAGGCCAACACCAACACAAACAACAGAGCACTCACACGAACGCGAAACACATGTTTACATGCAAATTACATAAAGCAAGCAGCAGTGGCAAACAAACGCAAATTATATGCTGCATACTTTTAGGCCTGCGACTCAGACTTCGTATATCGAGTTACCAAAGTAAATTGTATGGGGACTTTCCCCTACATCCATTTCCGCAGAAAAACGGCGTCCAGACAATGTCGCGTCGCTTCCTGAGTCCTTTGGAGGCGTCCACCCCCCCTCCCTCCTCAGGTCCTGCCAGTCGCCACTTTGCATACATTTAAAGTATTTTCGTTTTTTATACTCTCGCTTAGGGTATTGTTGTTTAACTTCTTAGAAAATTAATACAGTCCTCAAGTTTCGCAGACTTAGTTCTAAAAATGAGCTGTTTAATTCATATTTGTCTCATAGAGAAATAAAATCATTCAAGAAACGTATGACTGAAAATGTCTTAAAGACATTTGATAAACAGTAATATCAATTCCAAAAGATATCATATATAAACCCATAACTTCTGGAAATATATTATATTCTCTAGCATTTTATGGTTAATATGTAATGTTTCTGTCATAACAAATCTAATTAATTTTTTATTAAGTTTTTGAAGTTGCTCTTCAAACAAGACTTTCTGTTTGAAAGGCAGCTGCTTTTCCGAGGGTATTTTGTCTTTCGTTTTGTGAAGTTTTCATGTTATTATTTCGTTTTACCGCCCTTGGATGAAAGTCGTCGGCATAAAAAAAAAGCCACAGCGGCGTAACATGTAAACAAACTCATTTAACTGATTTTCAGAGAGGAAAACGTGGCTCCTGGGCATGGTGGCTGGTAATGGGCGGTGAGATTGCCAGAAGAGGGGGGATTGAGAGTGGTTCTGGAAAGACCGCATTATCATCATCATCTCGGCGCTGTTTTTTGCCCGCAACTCTTTTTTTCAGGAGCAACAGCAGCTGGCGTGGCCGCAACCTGAGGCTAGATTTACATGTCACTCGACTTAAGTTGGTCCTGCTCCCAGGCTCAAAGCTTCTCCCGGTCCAGGACCTCACCTCAGTAACCCAAGCAGTCGTAACCACAGCACCAAGTTAACTTGCTCGTTCTATCTGGGATCCAAGGATCCCGCAATCAGGATCCCCATACTCCCTTATGCGCACATAATCTTTGCATAATTTCCAACTCTCTTTTTCTTTCGTTTTGTCTGCGCCTTTTTTACTGCACGGTTTCCAGCGAGCTAAGCTACAAAAAAGGCAAGTGTCAGCAGAAACAGGAAAATAAACTAAATACAATTTCATGCCCTTTTTTGGGTTGGACACAGCTATGACCATTTGTTTTTTTTTTTTTGCTTTAAGAGCATCCGATTTATCGCCACACATAATCCGCATGGAAATCCTTAAAATATGCTGATTTTATTGCCTGCTTTTGGGGGGTGAAAATGCGGCCAGCGAATGAGATCTATAAACCTGTTAGTATTGTTTTCAAAGATTTTAATAATAACTGGCCTGCAAAGCAATAAGGGGTCACTGCATCCTTTTCCCCCACTTTTGGTCACGCTCTCTTTGAAATTGGACCAACAAAAGCGCAAAACTTCGGAGGGCGCTTTCATGTGTACAAAATCAAAAGGATAATTGAGACATGTGAACAATATCCCTAAGTGCGAGAGCCCAAAGCACCAACAACAAGCTCAACTCAATGAAAGGTCGCACATCAAAGGTGGCCCCCAGACATTTTACCAGCTTACCCCAGATGAAAAGCAATTAACAAAAGTAAAAGCGAGAGAGCACTGACTGGGGATGGCTAAGTTAAAAAAAGCATAAAACTCGGGAGAAAAGAAAAATATTAAATGCTTGAAAAGGGGAATTTGGAGGGGGACACACACAGACGTGGTTCCCTTAAAAAAGTGCCAGGCACTCACAAAACTGCTTGAAAAAAGTTGGGGAAAAGGGGAGACCTAAAGTGGGAAGTGTACACTTAAATAAGAAAAATGTATAAGACCAGAAAAAAAATAAACATTTAAAAATAGTACAAA